GTATACTCTTTTTATAGGCTCCATGAAATGTTTCGAGTACGTTTACCCGAAAAGTATTGAGGAGAGTTGTTGCTAGATATTGCTACCCGCTAATGCAAAGCAAATGAAGAAATGAGTGCAAAACTGCAGGTGTGGGTGAACAAGAGATGGTTTTGGAACTATCAGAGATATGAAATGGAGTTGTGTCTTGCGATCTTTCCCCCAACCTGAACTTAGCGGATAATATGGAGTGACAATGTGGCTGAGCGGTCATACCACTTTGATGGACGTCTATTCAGCGCACGAAGTTTTGCTTCAATGAGTCTTGTACAGCAAAATAAATCCGCATAGAATAGAGGAAAATGTTGGTAGCTCAGGTAGCGTAGGCGGTCTTCAGTTTGTTCGCTGAGCTGGGCTCGATCGGTGATGAGAAGCTTGCAATCGAATTGCGCTGCGCAGCTCAGCGAACAAATCAACGACCGAAGCCGCATCGGTAAGCTTGAGGACGACTGTGTGGTGTTTGTGCGCACACATATTGAGCTGCAACGCCTAGCTGATAAAAACGGTATTGCTGACGAACAGTTTGGCCTACGCATCAGCGCAAAGTAAACGCTTACTGTGTCCCACCTTCGTCTGAAAGAGTCCTCAACATTCAGTCAAGATTGGGGCATGATTTGCGGATTACTTTAGGTACGTTTGACAGTTCGGTAATGCTGTTCGTTGACTTAACGTTGAAGGTGAACAGAGATCCCTGTTTTTAGGTATATTGTGACTTAAGCACACCCGACCAATGTGTGCGAAGAACCGAAACATACGACAGGAGATAAAACTGCGTGTACAAAAGATGATCCCCTTGTACGGCAATGAAACGCCAACCATACAACGGCACTACTCAAAACGTGATCAAATTTCACACGCGACACATGGTATGCATACATGGGGTAAGTTGAACTGCGCATCAGTCAGTAGACCAATCAGTGGGCACGTTGTCATGGGATAGGGACTATGGTCCTGCATAACTGTCACTTTGGTTGTAACATATTTGCCAAATGGAAGAATAAAGGATCAGGGAACGGATACAAGTCAGTCACCAGGGATTAGAATCACGGCGGAAAGAAGCGTTGACATCTGGATACATTTGTTAAGGGCCTGATTGCCAGCATCAAGCTCGTGAAATGAGAAGCGGAAGCATCAAACAGGGCTGTGTGGAAACGAACAATACAGTCGGCATTCCATCGATCAGCGTTCTCTAGTCACACAGTTCAGGTATGAAATCACAAGTCCACAAATCTGTTGGACCTGCAACGTCCGAGGTCATGGTCGGACTGCTCGGTATGGACTGGTTGTCTATCAGGAAATGAACAGAAATCCATCGGAAAAAACTTCCTGAGAGTATCAGGTAGATAAGCCTGAGATGGTGCTATATCTAACCACCGTCTTACGAGTTTCTCAAAAGACTTCCAGACCCAAGAAACTTTCGTTCTGCTAGATACCTCTTCTTGAAGGTGTCGTTTTGACCGTCCGTGACCTTCATAAACGAAACCATCGTTTAACTAGAAAATGAATAAGACAGCCAAAATGAGGCAGGGTAACAATGCTACCGCGACTTCGGTAGCTTCAATCACAAATGGCCGTTAAACTGTCAGGTGAAAAGTCACTCGAATGCTTATGCAGTGCTCATCTGAAATAATGGTGCACAAAATACTCTCATCTACATGGTCATTGCTAAAAATTCAAAGTTGGCTAAAGCGTGGCGAACGCCAGTCCACATCGATCGATTTTTCATCGGTACATAGCTGTAAACCCCGCTAATGGCACACCGTTAGACTTGGAAAAATAAAGCGTCCATGAAGAAACAACTTGGGTTCATCCACAAAAAAACTTAATTCTCGGCTGACAGAATTATTCGATTTTGAATTTCAAACGTCCGTAACAAAGGGAATATCGGGATGCGGTAGGTGTTGAAATTCACTATTGTCATCTAAATGAGAGGATAGTTTTTCACTGGCAATCGATCAACAGACCTCTCCTTTATGGTATGTCGAACGCGATTCAAGTAAGATGAAGGATGCTTCGAACTTAGGCTCTCAACTATTTTGACATAGTTTGCAAGGCATGGGGAAATTGAAAGATATTTGTCAATGCTGAATTACACTGGTTTTTGTGGATGTATTTTACCATTTAGAAATGATTGTCTTCGGTGCACGTGTTGACAAGCTCTGGTGATTCGAGTGAATACGCGTAAACGTAAATGTCAATCTCCTAATATACTTGTGTATGACTCATCTATCCAGTCATTCGAAAACCATCCAACATTCAGGCTATTTTGTTTCAAATCAGTTAATATGTAAGTGAATACGGTTGACAGCAGACAAAAAACAGCGACTTATCTGCAGTACGGTTCTTCATCATCTAGCCATTTTGAGGACGCTGGCTGAAGTGGAAATATTCGAAACCTCGAGATCCGAAGCATAACAAAATTAACTTCCCTAGTTCAATGAAGAGCTGAGGCATCTTAGCTTTGTGTTCTTTGAACAACTTATGGTTTGTATTCTCATGTGATTTACTATCATGCAGGAGAAACACGGAGCTAATAAAAATGGCATGTGACTGAAATGAACGAACTGGAGCATGTAGAAGAGTTGTCCACTGACCAGTGACAAGCAAAACTTCGCTGAACGGTTGTGGTCGTCTCGGTAATGATCATCAAAGATAGAGAGGAAACCTTGTTAGTCTTAAGGTGGCCTATTCACAGTGCAGAAATAGTGTGTAACCTGTACACGCGTTATAAGAGCCATCAACAATGGGCGTATACACAATCTTGAGGTTTTATCCCCAACTTTTACGACGGTGATTTTACATGCATAACCGATCGAGAACTTTACTCTGTACAATACCGTTCAACGCCAGTGGCACAGATTCACATTACGTGACTGGCTCCTCGAGTTCTGACTGCTTATCAGAAGTTTGAAATGATTTTGACAACGAATTCATTGTGTGCCTTGTATGTAGTAAGCAGAATGTGGCGTTTCAATTTTGGTCTCCTGGTTCACAAAAAGAGCCGCAAAACCATTCAGTTAACCGGAACTCAATCTGTTATCCGTACAACTTGGGTTTGATATTTCAAAGGGATTTAAGAACTGCTAGAATATTAAGAGGAATTCACATAAGCATAAACATCTTCCTGGCTCTGGCCGAATCAAGTTCAAATGGTACTCTGACTCAAGCAGAGCAGGACTTACAGGGTGAGATTCTGTTATATATAGCAGTGGTACTCTGAGGAATGGCCCCTCGGTGGCACTTATATTTTCTTTTCATCCAATTAGAGATAAAAATTCGCCTCTAAGTAGCTAATTCGGGTTACTGACATGTGACATTTTATTATCGGGTTGGAGCTTGGAAGAGCTGACAAATTACACCAGCGTCTCAACGGTGAACGAGATGACCTAAAAGTCAACTTAGGGCTGATTCTATCTGATTCTTGTCTGATTCTATCAAAAAGCCGTCGCAGTGCTTTAGACTTACATACACCAGGTTGTGTTGTTTCAGATAAGTGTAGGCAATCATCTACACAAAAGCTGTGGATGAGCAGCTCCACATCAAACTTCAGAATAATATCATTATTTTAGTTGCTTTCATTATTATTACTATAGAAGAACTCAGGTCACTTCCTAGCTATGATCCCCTGGAACATGGCTTAGTTCTAATGCGATTCTATTCGGGTAGCTAACGAAATCACGTTCAAGCAATGGGCTGGTCGAAAAATCCGATAACTTGGTAACATTGAGTTTTACGATCCTCGCAGAGGATGTAGTGGGCAACAGGCCAATTAAGCTTGAAGTTGTGAGTACTTATCATAAAGGTGTGATTTGGCCAAGCCCGACAGGGGACCTACAAGATGGGTCCTTCTGATAACAGCATAGGTGTGATTGAATGATTTTGTTTAACGTTATCTAAAATATTTACCTAGTTTTCCTGTAAAAAATGTTATGGGAGGGCGACAGAAGCAATTCATTTTGAATTGACCATTAAGTCAAATAAGGGGTCAATTTCCGTTGATATAATAGGCAGAAAATTGTGCGGCTTAGGTGATAAGCATACATCCCAAACTAATTTCAGAAAATTAGTTGGAAATTGGAGGACAGGTGGTTCTGTGCTTAGAGCGCAAATTTACTGACCGGAAGGTCCGACCTCTACCTTTCGACTTACCCTCTCTAGACTTGAGCGACCTGGCAGTATATCAGCCCTCGTGCTTCCTTCGGGTGGCATAGCAGTTAGGCACCGAAAGGGTGCTACAGCTGAATGAATTTCAGGAAGAACGTCCCATGAGCACATGGTACAAGACTATAATGGGCAATCGGTTTCAAATAGGATGGAAAATGTTGCTCTATTCTGAACGGCCGAGAACAACTGAATAGATGCTTTATCTTTGTTGTGAATCATCAGAAGTCGGAGCCCCACGAACTCCTAAAAAGACTCGAGGCAGCGATCCTCCGCTGAGCAGATCAATAATGCGTCATTCGGCTATGGCTGGCTGAGTAGTATGACATTCACTTGCATTTATGCAAGCTACGGTGTCACAGTGCTTCGACGAAAATTCACGTTGCGTTATTTGGAGTTTACTGGCACCTTGGATTAGTAGTACCGGAAAAGAAAGCCCGTGAGGGTTCATAGAAAGTTATATTTTTGAGCAGATTCCTCATAGTCTTAGGTAGTATGGAAATCTCGAGCTCTCAGTGGAGATCGCATTACTTGGATAACAGTCTAGGTAGCGCTGTACACTCAATTTTACAAAGGGTGTGAAATCTGGATTCTGCCGTCAGTTCCAACTATTGTCGCAGAGGTCGAACAAGATACAACTGATCGTGTCAAAATCCTGTTCTACACCATTCCACACCAAAACATTTCACGTTTTGCATTTTGTTTATTGAAATAGTTTGCAGGAGAAGATCATGCAATTCAAAAGCTACCTTTCAGCTTTGGCAGTTGTACCAATTTCACTTTCACTCTCTGCTACATAGTACACCATATTGTTCTATTTCGGAGAAACAAATTCTTCCCCGATTGTTTATCCCGGACAAACAAAGAACGGGTATGTGCTATAGGTTAGAGAATCCCACAAACCGGTACATTCGTCTCCACCCATAGCGCTTGGGGTTTGAAAAACACGTTGGAAAATCACACAATTTAGGGACAAGGACGTCTTCCAAGAATATTCGAGACCTTGAGCAGATTGTGTAGAGCATGTACAAATCTCAGGCAACTACGTCGAAAACTTAAGTTGGATTATTCCCGTTCAACTGAAAGGATAATGCAGTATATGCTTGTTGACATAAGTCGGCTGTGAATTCCTTCCAGGTTTTTTTGCGCAGTACTGTGTCAGTTCCAAACAGCTGAAAGATGATTTGCAAGGAATAACTGAGATTCTCCTACATATAAACGGTTAATATGAATTTCAGTGTCACTGAACATTTTTGAGTGCAGATTTCGTATTGTAGGCGAAGTCACTCTAGGCCAAAAAGCCGAAGAGCTTTGTACAACTGCCTAATCCCTATTAAGAATCATAAGTAGTCTGTACCTCACAAACCCCTAGCGCGATTCGGACTCCCCACCATCCGACTGGTAGTTAAAGAGTAAACCGTTCAGCCACGAGTGGCTGATCAGCATTGTTATTAGCTCGTCCTAGACGGGATGTATAACCACTCATTGTTCACTCACACACACTTGCGTACATTTCAAGACGGTGCCTTTCTGAAGTAACCCATGTGCAGTTTAGACGCTGAGTCGCCGACACCCTAGTAGTAACCACTGAGCTACATTAAGCCAGTGTTTATGTATCCCTGCAATGTACAAAACAAAGTTAAAAAAAAGTTTAAAAAATCGTCACAATGAAAGAAGTAGGTTGGGTGACCAAAGCCCGGAGCTTGTGATTTCCGAGCAACCTCATTTGGGTACTATGGCTAGGAGGAGGTTGAGGTGAACGGTTGAATACAATCATAAATTAGCGCCCTTTGCAGTTTAAAACCTATGTCCGTATCTGATATTTACTTGTTAATTACTACGGGCTTAGATTCAGCAACCGTCTCGATCAGGTAACAAGACTAAGAGAGTTTGTGGACCCAAACGCTCCCCAATCCCACCGACCGAACAATTGTTCAACCACTCTAACACACTAAAATCCCTTGGCCGACACCCAACAGAGATTTAGCTTGACTTGGCTGATTGTTTCTCCTTTCGCCTTAAATCTCGACCAACCTCGGAACCTAGTCACTTGGCCTAACGAAGCTTTTATGTCAAAATCGAAACGTTGCCCAGCAACAAATCTACCGATTGTCACCAAACCTTTTCGAAAAAGTTTGTGGAAAATGTTGTTGAAAAGTCCCTGTAATGTTATGCCTTATTCTTATTATTCTTATTCTTCTTATTCTTATTATTCTGAAGGCATGTCCGTGAAAACGACATGCTTAGAACAAATGATTCTTAACATAACTTCAAAAAATTTCACAAAGTTCGTAATCGTGATTCCCTTAGTAAACAAGTCCCAATGAGCTAGCCATTCAGTGAATGGAATAAAGATACCAAGTTATCAAGTCTCGGTGCTATGAATGACGGCCATTCGGGAGCACAAAAAACGTTTGGTGTGGCGAAGATCAGATCTAACAGCAGTGCGAACAGAACAAATTAACAAGATTATGGAGAAACCGTCAAGACAAGAATCGAGCGCTTTTCTTACTCCGGAAAATAAGGCAAACCCAGGGAACCAAGTCTTTGTAAATTTATAAAAACACAACTGTTTCCTAGCTATTAATCAACCATTATTCATGAGGAGGAGAAACGAGAGCGTGGAGACACCAGACAGTCATTCTGACAATGAACCTTTTCACCACATCGCTTTGCATGAAAGTATTAACAATCAGGTTGTCAGTCCAACGATACAGCATGAATGCTTCAACAACCTCATGATGTAAAATTCTCCAATGTCTAACTTCGTGGAACCGAAAATTGACAGTTACTAAGATATGCACCGCGGATTTCCTCCTACCTCTAGGGCTTACGGAAGAAGCAGCTACTGAGGTTGGCATAAAATTTCTTTGCAAACAGTATGCTTACAAAGTTAAGCAGCCCAGAAACGATCAACCTCTGTGTGATGCCAAGAAACTCGTAGGCCAATAATCTAGTAGAATATAGCAATCTACGGGTGCTTCCAGTTGACAGATTCATCCGTGTCACTGCATCCCAAAGGCTGACGAAATTAGGTTGCGAAGAGGAACAGTCCTGATCAGTTATATGCGGGCTTGCACCACGACCATTTATAGCTAAGGGTCCCCACAGGGGAGTCTAAAACCGCATCGTCCGGAGGAACCAGGTGCGCTACTGACGCAAACAAAGGCGACTTATACATGAGACCAAAAAGCCCTTCACCCATGATGCGCACTGGGAAGAATCACTTTACGCTTACTCCCTTCACAATAACGTTTATCACCAGCAACACTTGAAACAGAAAATGAACAAGGCGGTTAGATCTAATTGACGGAAAGACAATGGCGCACAGGTACGTAACATGCCACCAGATGGTCAATAAACGATTTGCCTTTACGGTTGTTTGCACTAGGCACTATATTGTACAGTACCATGGTTCACCTTCGGAAAAGATGCCGTTCGCTAGTGAGTATGGGACAACATTTCGCTCTAGCCAGGTCTTGCGGTATTATCTCCCGAGGAGAGGCCATTCTAGCCCTGGTGTAAACCAACTGAAGCAAAACCGGACGGAAGTCTGGATATGCAGTGATCCCCACAGAAGGCCCTCCGAAGAAAGATCCCGACCTTGTAAAGTCCTCAACAATGTTCAATGTCAGCAAGGTACTGCTGTAAGCTTTCGTACAAAGGAGCCATGTATTTCTACCCTCAGGGAGATTCTCCCTTGGATTAAAAAGTTGGATTGCAACCCATACATTCATATTCAAGGCTTACTCGGCTACCCTAAACACCCGAGACATGGAGAAGGAGAATCCCATCCTAGGTCATGGCTGAAGTCGGGAGCCTTCACAGGGTTGAACCCCGTTTGGCAAAATCAGCTACAATAAAATAGTCTATTTTCTGCGTTTTCTTCGTTGCAATGAGCATTCAGAACGAAACATATATCACCTCACACGTGTCCTAAGTAACCCACTGCGGCCAAAGTTCAATGTACATATGTCTGTAGACGTTTGCAAATCCTTGCGTGCAACTGAGGGACACCGAGTTGCAATGAACTGCATTAAAAAAATGGACAACTATATACCTAGCACCTACTGGACTAACCAGCGCTTAAGTATGAGACACGACTATGTGGTTTCACATGGCATTCCGAACTTATTTCATTATGAATTATCAACAGAAGTAGTAGTACAGAGGCCAAATAATACAACAAGAAAGGTAAAAATACCAATAGACGCTGTGTTCACCCTGTTAGCCTCTAAACCGTTGCCGCTGACCAGCAAGATGATGTTGCCTTCTCCTGGACCGATATGGCAATGATTCCTGTCGAATGGATTCCATCAGAAGAGAAATATCCATGGTTTACGGTTGAAGGTACGATCCACCGGTGAGAGGATTCCTTATGCACTTCCCTTGATTTTCGAATCAGTGTGATTTAGCCCGGATAACCTTGTGTTTCTTTATCATCCAATAACTGTGTTCTCTTATTTAGTGCTGACGGTATGCCTGTAACCTGTAACCGGTATTGCAAGACACGTTTAACCTTGTTCTGGCTTCCCACTGAGAGTTTACACCGGTAGAATCACAACTGGTTGTGAAAATGACGGGTTCCACCTTGTTTGCGTGTGTTCTGACCTTGTTCTCGCTGTATTCGTCTGAATGTTATGGCTATTGGGCTATGCGCGGATAAACTTGCTCGCAGGTATGCACAAGTAATAATGGCCAAAAGTATTCATTATACGGACCGCATAAAACGTCTTAGCTTCTGCCACTACTCATAATTTCATAGGTACACTGGTAGCACAAACGGTGAAAGCACAGCCGATAGGGTGAAAAACTGTGATACGAGGTCGGATGTTTACGTTTTGTATGAAATGAAGTGGGAGTGTATGCACAGCTGTTGAGTTATTTGGTTCACCGTGCGGTGTGGTCTGTCCTTAGCACGTCACGTCATTTTGTCCATTTGACATTTCAGATGTTTTCTATTCCGGGTGTCTGCCTCGCATGATCTTACTTTTGATTGCTCTATCCAAAGGATCTGCTCTGAGTGGTGTCAAGATCATCTTCATCAAGCTTTGGGATCTTTTCCAGATAAGCCCCGCCACTAATGCAAAAAGTGCATATGCGAAAATTTAAGCCCCCTCCCCACTTTATGCCGGCTCATATTTAATGTACGCACACAACCTTGACCTATTTTTGATGAAAACAATCCCTTATCCGCATCTAGGCTCATTTTGTGCAAAAGGTTTCTCCGTTCGGACGTAAATCCTTGAACTTTCTGACGCTTTCAACTCTCGTTCTTGACAAGGAGACTGCAATGTTTTTTTGCACAGCCACGGAGTGATCCATCAGCAACGTTTATGCGACAATGGCCACCAAATAAGCGGTCTAGGATGGAGTTTAGGACAGTAAATCTACTCAGTTATTGCTGGTACAAAAATTTGGCAGAAATCAAATTCTGCTCAGGGAAAGTATCTATTAGCCACACGACCGCTGCTGACTGGAAGAACTTTCTTCGCGAAGTTTGCACCTGGCGGTTTTTGCAGACTCCAACAGTTATCGGCGGCCCAGGTCTACAGGTCGAGATCGATGAAACGCTAATATCTAACTGCAAAAAACACGCAAGGCAAGTCCTTCCCCAGCAGTGGATTTTCAAAGGAAAACTAAAGAGGCGTTCATGTATGCAGTGCCAGATCTAACTGCGGCCAATTTGATGGACACAATCCAGGCCTGCATCACTGCCGGCTCAATTACCATATCTGATATGTGGGAATTGAAACGATGATTGACATGAAGTATACTCATGAAACGGTTAATCATGAACCGGTCAATCAAACCGAAAACTTTTTGGATCCAAACACTGGAGCGGACACAAAAACCATGGAATCTCCTTGG